CTCTCTGTCTCTCCCCCTTCCCGCCCTCCCTCCCTCAAGTGGTACTGGACAGCCCCCCACACCCGTCCCCAGCCAAGCATCCCTAGCTCCCACCCACATATCTGAAAAGTTGAGTGGCATAATCCAATGATGAAAAACTAATTTCTACTCACTCTCAAGTTTTCCTTCAAGACCAAAAGCACCAAGTTCAGCTGAAAGTTGGTACTTGTTTACCAAAGAGCTGCTGTCAGCAAAGGAGCCACTGCGGGTACAGCTCCTCATCCTCTGGGGTCCCCTCCATCTACTAACAGGCACATGGAAGCCGGTGGGGGTACAGAGGTGGTGTAGTGGTACCAAGGCTAGAACCCATCCCACATGGCCAAACCCCTCTGTACCCATGCCTGCTCATGTTTGTGAATTGCCCATGTCCACAGGCTTGTCACTCACCTCTGGTTGTCATCCTCTGCCCATGGCCACTTCCATCTCTGTACACCCCCAGTCACACCCATCCCTGTGGCTATGACCCTGCCCCCAAGACCACTTACCTCTGGGTGCACATGTCCATGGGCTTGTCACCTGCCTCTGCCTGTCCCTCAACTCTGCCTAGAGCCACATCCACCTCCAACCATGCTATCATGTCCTTCCCCATGGCTATGACACTGTCTCCAACCCCACTCACCTCTGCGAGGTACGCATGTCCACGGGCCCATCAGCTGCCTGCCCTTCACCTGCTCTCCCCATCTCGCCTGCTTTGGGCAGCCCTGGGCCTAGGACTGTGCCTGGCTCAGCCCGCACTGTCGTGTCAGCCCCTGTCATCAAGTCCGAGGTGACCAGCCCTCTGTCCATCTTCACTCTCTTGCTGTCGGCATCATCCTCAGCTGGGTCCCGCTCAGGTGCCCGCTTCTGGCCTCGGGTCCGGCATGCCTCCTCGGTCATTCTGAACTGTGGGGGGAAGGCAGCACGTTGGCCTCACGTAGAGTGTCCCACCCCATGGGAATATCCCAGAGTGTAAGCAAGCATGTTTTTCCCCCTAAAGGACAACAGGAGAAGGAGGGGGAACATAGGAAGGGCCCTAAAAGGGCCCATAGGAAATGTATCCACTGCCTTAGGAGGCTGGGGCAAGGTCAGGAACCCAGCCTCCACACCACGGGGGGGAAGCTATAAGCAATGCATTCCAAGGTAGATGAGGAGGGTGGGTTCTATACACTCCATACTCGAGAGACAAGGGAAGACACCAACTCAGGTTTGTACATCTGTCGTGGAGCTGCAGGCACTTGTGTTAGATCCCAGGGTTGGGATGGTCACATTGCCCAGGACCAGAGTTCACTCTTGGGGGCAGGACCCATGCATGGGGGACACCAGGTGACATTCTCTGTTCCCTTCAGGGAAGGGCAGTGTTCTCACATTTAACCCTCTGATAGTGGGATGAACTCTGGGTGGGGCTGAACCTGGCACAGCACCATGCCCCTACCCTATACCTGCAGTGTGCACACATCTTGATTTAAAGAAGAAAGAAAAGAAAAAAAATCGCGGAGTCAGCTTTTGATCCCGTGACATCACTGGGCTCCACATGACCCTTCCCAGGATTCCGTCTGAGAGACAAAGCACTTTCCAGAAAACCAGTCTGAACCGGTTCCAGACAACAAGCTGAAGTGCTGTTAACCCTCACAGAGACAAGAGACGGGGCAACAGTGATGTCTGTCTTAGACACTACGGGCATTCCACAACAGGCTCTTAAAGGGGCCACTGTGAAAGAGCACACAGGGGGCAAGGCCACAAAGTGAGGTTCCAAAGGACCATGGGAGAGTTTGTAGAGGGAAAGAACAGAGTGAACTGCTAGGGCAACAGAAGACACCCATGGGAATATAGCTGTCCACAGACCAGGTACAGACAAGTCCACATGCAGGACAGGGTATAGAGTTGGGTAAAGGCTGCCATTGCAAAGATGCACTAATTCCAGTTTGGGAGAAGGTACCACAGGAGGCCCCAGTTCTGTCTGAGTATGCAGGCAGGCCACTTGCCTCACTGCCCTGGGGGCTTAACCCAGGAAAATGATGGGCCACATTACTGCACAGAACACTGTTCTGAGCTGAATCACAAGTGGGTAATAGCACAGGCCCTGCCAATGTTTGTGTTCATGGACCAAGGGACCAGTCTGAGAGCACTGAGTCTACAAGGGCTCTGAGGGGCACCTTAAGAGTTTCAAACACATGGCTCACCCACAGGCTGCACCCCCCCCCCCCACATTTCCACGGCAGGGAGCAGACAGCCCTAACACTTTCTAGCCCACAAGCTTAAAAGAGGTATGTGCCAGCTAGAATCTGGATGGCCCAGACTCTGCTGGAGATGGCTGCTTCTGCCAAAGCTCCTCATGAAGCCCAACCCTGGACCACCCTCAGCCTCCCATTGGCCCCCAAGTACAGAGGAGCTGTCTATCTCTCTCAGCCAGAGAAGGGAGGGATGCTCCAAGGTCCCTTTCAGTTCTCGTGTCTATGGTTCCTGTCTTCTCTCCAACATCCTTCACTAAAAACCATGACTGACTTGATTCTGGTTTTTAACACCCACATGGCCAACAAAACTACTAGCTCAAGACCAGGGTGGGCAGAGAGCCAGTGACAGAATTTTTTTTTATTAGGAATAGTAGACACATCACTGCCTAAGTGCTAGTCACCTGCCTGCCTGCCCTCTCTGTGGATGGGATTCTCCCCAACTAGAGGGTGGGCTCAGTTTGAGGAACTGGGAAAAGCCATTTGTGTCCAAGGACTAGGGTATAGACCCAAGCCCTGGCTGGGTGGAAGTCTAGGCAGAAGAGGATAGAAAAGAGGGACATCCCCCCACACACCTGCCCCTTACTCTGTCTATGCTCTGTCAGAGGCTCCTCACCCCACCTGCCAATTCAACCTCTGGCCTCACAAACCCTTTGCTTCATTTGGTAAAGTTCTGTGTAGCCCACCTAAACTCCAGGTCCTTCATAAAGCCCCCCAACTGCTCATGTGCACAGGGAGGGCCTGGCAAGACCTTGCTGGACTGCCTCTGTCACCCTACAGGGGAAACAGAGCCTTTGGTGTCCTCACCATACCCAGATATGGTAGTGGGCCCTGGTTCATGTCCTGTGGCCCCTGCCTGGCCCTCCAGCAGAAGAAATTGAGAGGCTATGAGCAAGTACTGCCATGGTACAGACAACATCAGGGAATTCATGATGAGCACAGAGACTTGATGCTCTGCCAGCCCCATGGCGTGGGTTGATGGCCATCTCCAGTCCCCATCTGTCTGCTCCCAGGGGACTACATCCCCCATGATGGACAAATACAGCTAGTTAAGGTGGGACTGTATAGGGGAGTAATCCTGGGAGGCAGGCCCCCATTCAGTTCTGTGCCTGCCTGATCCCCAATCCATCCTCCAAGCCCTATGTAGCAATGTGCTGCTTCAATTCACTGTTGCTGGGCACTGCAGGAGGCCTGTATTTGCCTCATTCCCCATGGTGACAGGGCACATGCTCCTGGAAAGGGCAGTGCTGAGGCAGGAGGCTCCGTCTTCCTCACAACAGGAAGGTCAGACAACCTATCCCCGAGGGCTGGAGGCCATGGTGACAGCAGGAGTGAGCAGGGACCAAGTTAAGGGGCAGAGCAGGGTGGGAGCAGAGAAGAGAGAGACCAAGGTACAGGCAGGGACCAGGGTGCAGAGCAGGGACCAGAGTGCATTGCAAACCAAGAACAAGGACCCAGGCGGTGTATTGTCGGGGAAAATCAGCCTCCAAGATTAAAGTATGAAATGTAACTTCTATGGAAGTGATGATGTTGAACATACAGAGCCTTCATAAAAAGCAAGTGAGGGGGTTGGACAACCCCGACTGGCCAACTGGGACCTCTTTCAGAATTCCTGGTGAGCAAGTATAAAAAAGGGTGAATAGCTTCAAGAGCAGGAACCACCTAGGACTGTCAGGAACACAACCTTGAGGCACCTGCCTGGACGCTGCAGGCACATGAAGAATCCTGTCAGGACCTACCACCCCAAGGTCCTTGCCGAGGCACTATGAGCACAGGGAGAATCCTGTCAGGAGCCACAACCTCAAGGCCAGACATACTTAAACCTACTGCTCTCTTTCTCGCTCTCCAAGTACCCTGACTCAGCCCCCACTCACGTGGCTGAGACCAATGGCTCTGAGAAGGGCCTCACAGAGGCCCAGGATGTACAAGCATGGAGGCCACTAGCAGGAGGAAACCCCCTGGATGGGCTCCACCCTAGTCCTTGGACACTGACAATCAGTAGATTTTGGACAGGCTACAGATATCAATGACGTCCACCAAAGCTGCCGTGTTTTAATGAAATGCACTATTTAGCTGTTTGAGAGCCTCAAGCAGACGAGTACCAAGACAACAGTGCAGAGGGTGCTATGTTAAGGCAGGTGCCTACATTTTCAAACAATGCCCAGGGTAGCTGGCACATGCCAATAGGTATCTCTTGATAATTAACAAAAGATTAATAAATGAAGATAATCTCAGGGCCAGCTCCTGAGATGTGCTTGCCCACACTATTTATACACACTACTGTATATGTGGGAGGAGCTCTGGTAGCATAGTGCCTAAGGCACTTGACTGCTAACCAAAAGGCTGGCGGTTCAAACCCACCAGCCACTCCTCGGAAGGAAGATTGGGCAATCTACTTCCATAGAGGTACCGCCTCAGAAACTTAAGGAGGGGTTCGCTATGATTCGGGACCAACTCGATGGCAATGAGCTTGCTTGTTTGCAACTGTAGAACACTAACACCACTAACAGAGCTCCTGTCTCAAAGAGGAGAATCTGGCTCCAATGAACAGGTTAAATCACTTTGCAAAAGCAGCAGAGCTGATCTCTCAAGAATGAACCGCAGGGTACTTCTCAGCCACCTACTTGCCCAACAACAGCCTGCTGAGTTCCTGCTTTGTAGCAGGATGGTTCTAGGGTACCAGTGAAAGCCCAGAGATATGAGTGGGTGCCTTTGGGTGCTCAGACCAGAGGAAAGGGTGATGGACAGGGGAGGGCAAAGAGTGGTCAGGAGGGTCCTGCATCATGAGCTCAGGCCAGAAGGGAAGCAGAACACGAAGGGAGAAGGGAAATCCAGGTAGACTATGAGGTTCCGGGTAACACATGAGACAGTCTGTTTGCTTGCATGTCTGCCTGAATAAGCAGATGTATTTGACTTGAACTGCAATGGGAGGGGACAGAGCTGGGGAGGAAGTAATGAGCCCAACATGATCCCATGTGGGGATGCAGAGGAGCCACCAAATGCCCTTGACTATAGGGGCAGCTGTTCCTGTCAGCAAGGAAGAAGGCTCATGAGCCCCGCCTGCTCTAACAATGTTTCAATAGACAGAGCTTACGCACTTCCTCAATCTCTGTAAGGATGAGGATGTTCCCATCTTTGGAAGCTTCTGTAACCCTTGTTGCTACCAGGAGAGCTTCCTAAACCCAAGCTTCATCTGATCATGTTGTCACTGCCTCATGCCTGTCCAAGGCACGCTGTGGTCCACCCAGAACCCAGCCCTCAGTATAGGGGATACTGGCTGCTACCCTCATGCCCCTGCTAAACCTGAATAAACCATGCCTTTGGGATCTGCACCCACCACACTACAAGCACCCACTCCCTCGAAAGGGGCAGCCCAGTTTCCAGTCTGAGTGGACAGGGGTGGGGTGGGGGATGGCACCATGAACACACCACTGCCCACAGTACACGTGGCTCTCTGGCTTGCTGAGGTATCGGTTGGAGACATGGCCAGAAGCCTGGCCAGCATGACCTGATTCCTGAGACTGTGAGGGCTTCTGTGCCTAGCATGGGGGTCAGAGAGGCCAGCTGTGTCTCCAAGAATGGCACCGAGCAGAATGTCAGCCCCTGAAGATGGGACAGGGAATAAAGAGGTACCATACTTTTACAGTTTTACAGATGTCAGTTTGTCCT